CAGAAGCCGAATTTAGTATTAGACTAAGTGACAAAGTTCTTCAGACTGCTGAACTCTATCACATATGTGAAAATATCTGTAAATTGAACCTAGAGACCAAAATTTTTGATAAAATCTTCTGTCTATAGCGGACATAAGCATCTCCTCTATCAAATGCAAAAACAATCATCTGAAAATTATGAGAACTACGCAAGATAACACCAAATTACACGAGTGCCTCTATTTACTCCAAAGTATAAAAAGAAAAAAAGAAATTCTAGTGCTGTTGATTATATGCTAATTAGCTTAATGAGTTTAAATGATAATGAGCTCAGAACTATATGGTAGAGAGAGGAAGATCTGGGCTACAAAATGAGGTATTTTTGAATTAATTGTCTCCTAAGCTTAATTAACCAGCAATTGTACATTAAAACTCCATGTATTTGAATGGAGTGCCTCTATTTACCTCCAGCGTATAAGTGAAGTGCCTCTAATTACCCCGTACGGAGTATTAGAGACACTTTGATGGAGCTCTTCGCATTTTGGATCTGGCTCAAAATTGGCCGGAGTTTTCGAAAAGATTTTTACATGAGCGTGTAGAAAAATGTTTGGCCTATCATCATGTTCAATAGCAACTTTTTCCGATCAAAAACGGCCAAGAAATAGCAAAAAAAGGACGAAACTTTCGAAGAGTGCCTCTAATTACCCCGAAGTACTCTAGCTCCAATAATTAAACTCTTAAGAGTAATACACTTTAGGGGTTGTTATTTTCAAAAGAAAAGTGAGACGCAATAAATTATCATTGATTTACTAAATTTGTTACATCTTTTGTTAACAGAACCTTGTTACACAGAGTTTAAATCTACATCTCAATCACTTGTACTTTCAAGCTTAATAATCATTGATATCATTCCAATCAGACGGGTCGGGATCTCTAACCTTGTGAACAATCCTTTCGTCTCCATTATTTTTACTTTAGCCTCTAAGAATAAAAGTATCTTATTCGACATGGTAGTTCTTTTCAAACAACTGTCACACAGTTAAAGATGTTTTCTTAGAATTAAGAAGTATATTAATGTTTTATTGTCAAAACAATTATATCTTTTGCTTACCTGATTGAATTGAGCATTTCTTTTATCTGAGGTGAATAGTGAGGGTTTATAAATTGGAAGATTATTTTGAACGTTGTAGTGAGATGTATCACTAAATCTGTGAAACATGTTTTGAAAAATGAATAAAACAGTTTTTCGTTGTTTTAATATTTCTCTCACAGTTCGATGTAAAGAGGCAAAAAAATCAATTACAACAATATGCGTTCTCACCTACCAAAAAAGAAGACATTTGTACGATTTCAGAAAAAAAATCAATTTTAAAAACTAAAACAATGATTTCAAGGTACCGCTCTGCTTCTCTCTATATCAAATAGAAAATAGTAGTTTAAAAGTACCATTTGAAAATAAAGATAACATAAAATGCAACAGTAATTTCCAATATGTGAAACATTTTTTTCGTTTTCCCGATATGTTAGAGAAACTTTTTTAGTTTTTAAGGACAAAGTCTAGGTTACAAAATCTTTACCACTGAAGAGAGCATTTTTAGGCACGCTAAGACAGAGATGTGCATGGGTACCATTTTCGTACCCGTACCCGACTCGACAACTTTGTACCCATACCCGACTTATGCGTAAAAATTTTCCCCTTTTTGTTTTCCAGCTAAATGCTTTTGTTTTTCGGCTGAAGATGTCAAATTATCATTACGTTCTCAAATAATTCTTGTTAAACCTTCATGAATTTTAGCTAAAGTCCTGTATTTTTTCACTAAAATTTTGTGGGTTTTCCACTAGAACCGTCTGGTTTTCGGGTAAATTACAAAAAATAGAACCCGTATCCGACCCGTACTCGGCAACTTCGTACCCGTACCAAACCTTCGGGTCGGGTCGAGTTACACATCCCTACTCTATAATGTTACCAGCAATCATTCTTCATTTTAATTCTATTTAAACGGAATAAGTCGATTTGAAGGAAATAGAAAATAGATTGCAAACGGAAATTTTGAAAAGTATAAAAACGTTTTCTTAAGTTTTTCCATTTTCTATATACTTATACAATAATGTTCAACAGTGAATTGGATGTCATCAAAAATGGTGATGATGATAATCAAAATACAATATCTCTAGGGTTTTTTCAAGATCTCTCTATCATCACTTTGTGCTTTTCTTTGTTGACATTAAACACCATAGTTGCCATGGATGGAGGAATCAGTCAGTCTAAACAGTCAATCTTCACAAACTTTTATCGAAACAAGGAATGAATTAGAAAAAATCGACTATTAATCAGTTGATATTTTCTTAGATATGCTGTATATGCGGAAAGAAGCATACAATTTAAATTTGGTCTTCTTAACCGATACGGTTGTAGAGATATTTACGTCTGTTAAATAAACTCTCTTAATGGAATTTTTTCGAGTTTACGGATGCTCTCGTAAGCTGAAAATTCGATAATCCTATATATCCGCTGTTGATTAATTAACGATTAATCACTTAAAGTTTAAAATGAGCGAAATTTAGAAGATTTTTCACTTCGTATCTTCAAAAAAATTTTCTCTTTTTCCGAGATTTATTTTAACGTAAACTTTAGATTGTTTCTGTGATTAATGGTGAAAATGGAACATTTAGGACAGGCAAAACCAAGTTTACAAACAGACCATATCAATGTCAGTATTTTTAGAAAAAAGGAGGCTATAATTAGCTATGGCCCTCTTAGAAAAAGCAAAGAATAAGTTAGAAAGAGTTTCACTCAAAATACATCAGAGCCAGTTGAAACGTCAGGATGTATAGTATCTGAACTATTTTATATTCTACGTATAAAAAATCTACAAAAAGGAACCTAGAGAACTCTGTGGTTTTCTCCAAAGACTTCTAGAAAACCTTTTAACAAATATTGATTTTTCAAATTTGTCGCTACCATAATGACGTTTAGTGGACAAAATTAACCGTATCCTGAAGTTTTCAACTAGCTCTGGTATATTTAGAATGAGTTATGAATTTTTTAATATCAGCTGCAAACAGCCGGAAAACTTAGGTTTTACTAGGTTCTAAAATCTTTTTCTAAAAACAAACATTGCCACAAGGCTCAGCATAGTCGATAAGCTATGTTTTCATACATTTCTAAAGGTCCTAGACTAAAGAATAGAGAAATCCCAGGACTTCGTGAAAAACCCCCGAAGCTCCAGAGTTAAGCAAAATGAAACTTTTGCTTAGATCTTATTTTGTAGAGGATACTTTAGACTATCTATTTATGGAAAAAAACCGATCGGTTGCTCTGTAAAGGTTTTGATTTAGAAGCTGATTTTCTAGAGATCTATTGAAAAACCAATTTCAGGAATTTTTTCGGAAAATGTTTCTGCTTATGAGTATAAAATATAAATTAAACTTTCCTCTTTCGACTGTCGAAAACCGCAAGCCTCTATCTTTTACCACCTTTGATTTATTGAAAAAATATCTGAGTCCACTGACTTTTTGTACAGACAATAGCCATAGTCACAGTTCCGAGAGATAGTGCATACTTATACTAAACTATAATAGTTTTCACTTTATTATTCCAACTGTTCAGATTAACAATTTCACACTCTACAACTGCCAGTGACTTTTTATGCAGAATTTATTGAATAAAACAAGTTGAAAGTAAAATGTTTAAATAATATATTCATTCCAATTCAATATGGCCGAAGTGTAGACTATTCTTACCAGACAATGAAGGTCAGAACAGAGAGAGTAAGGTTTTTGATAGTAAATCTGTAAGACCAAGTAACTTTTGTTGAGTGTCGAGAAAAGTACGCGCGTAACGGAAATTGATATCTTCCAAATGAATTTACATAAACTATAGTTATTTTTTCCTATAAAATATAAACTGAAACATTCAAAGTTTTGACCGATGTATAAAAATGTTACTTTAAATTTTAGTTATTCTGTTTATGGGATCTTGTTCTTGCACAGAAGAAAAAGATAAAATATTTCATATTGATGATCTAAAAGGCATAGATAAATATTATCCGTTAATGTCGAAACGAAAAGCTGAAATATTCAAATGGTTAATGTCAAGTGATGGACCATGGGATACGCCGAGTTCATTTGATAAATATCGAACTGAATTTGTATCAACGGCAAAAAATGGTCCCGTTCAGGTGACAAACGCTGATGAAATGTATTTACGTGTGCAGCAGCATAGGACAATGAACAAATTTAGTTCAACGAATTTTCGATGGAATTCGTTACTCGTTGTAGATTCAGACCATAAAGACGTGAAATTGAGTCCGATGATATCTCAAGAGAGAATGTCGGAGATGAGTTCTGATTTAACATCAAATGATAACATTAGATAATAAACTCACAGCTATTCTAATAAGTATGTACTGTCTGAAAATATATCAGAAAACTTCTTGTTGATAAATATCATAAACTAATGCATTCAGAATTACTATGGCTGTTCTCCATAGTGAATTCTATTTACAAATGTTTTTCAATTTTACAGATAAATTAAAGTCTCTTGTGTCTTCTACAGTATTGTACATTGGATTAATAGCTGATGTAACTTCTACTGCATATGTAGAGTTTTTTCTATTGTTTTTTTACAGAACAAATGTTCCAATTAGAGATCGGAAAAACTTAAATTTTTGTTTTTCCAAACAACGAAAAAAGTCAGTCTTTCAAATTTTTAGAAAACTCATGTCAGATCTCTTTTTGGGATAAGCAAAAAATCCAATTTCTGTTTTCTAGGGAAGCCGTTTTTCTATGGTGTAGTAAGACTTACAATTGGTTTTGATTCTCATACAATTTCAAAATATCGTATACCGTTGTGAATCGAAAAAATATAGTCTTTCTCTCTTGATCTGAGATATGTTATAGATATTTCTACTTTTTTTTCACACTATTTTTTTGCGTACCATGTCAGATATAGTAGTTCATAACGTAGAAGAGGTCGACAATCAGCAAACTATTAATTATTAATGAAACCGTTCTCTTTTCAGTTCAATTTTCGTTCTCAAAAGAATCCTTATTTCTAATAAGAAATCATTTTCTGTAACATAATTTCTATCTTATTGTTCAACTTTTCAAGAAAATTATATTATATAAAATGCCAATTAATTAATGAAATTAATTTTTGGCTCATCTGTTATTTAAGTTTTATAAATCACTAATTCATTTTTATTTCAACAGCTTAACTTTATCTAATTCGAATGCTTCTTCCATGTCGTCTTTTCTATCAACAATCCATATAAAATTTGCTGTTGCACGTTCCAAAGACAAATAATGAGAATTTAAATTTGCATTAGTACCAGGCAGTGATGAGAAAAAATCAACTAACTAAAACAAATATATATGACACAAATTAGTCACTAGAATAGCTCATACATGAAACAAAACAAAAAAATTGGACAATGCAAACTAACCTGTAATAAATGAAATTCATCTTCAAACGTTGCTGTGATATCGATTAATAACTGTCCTAATCTCACATTTGTTTTATCGTTTCTAAAATAAATTGAATACGCATGTAATATGTAAAACATAACAGATAGTAACATCATTTAATCAGATTATTCAAACTGAGCAAGACACTAAAGTATTTATTGAACGTTTATGATGCAATTATTATTGATTTCTTTAGAAAAATAGTCTCTTACTCTGTTTGTAGATCGTTCCAATTATGTCTGTAGTAATACCATGCTAATTCTCTACCAACAGGATTTAAACTGATTAATGTCAATGTTCTTAATAAATTCATATCTCGATTACGATTATTATTCGCTTCTTCTAACAACAAACTAAAAAGTATATATATATTGATTAAATAGTCGAAAATAGTATGTCACATGAACTTACTAATAAAGATGCCATGGCTGACGTGATTGTGTCATAGCTGTAAGTAAAAGCAATCGCTCTTGTCGATCGTCAATTGTATGATAATTAGAATCGACTTGAATCCATTCGGAATCATTGTATGTATTTTTGAAATGAGTTATGTACACTGTTGCTCTTGCATGAGGAGGAACTCTTTAAATTTAAAAAAAAAAAAGCGTTAATTGTTTTCTTGCATAAATATCAAATCTACGTAAGCATACGGATTTAGAGCAGTTTCTGATAACATCGATGAAAATGCAAGATCCCATTGTTCTGATGATTTTTGAATACAAGCCTGCAACTGAAGTCGACACGCAAATCTGATTATTGTATTTTTTAATAATCTAGAAATATCCATAAAAGCAACTGCTATAAAATACCAGACAAAATCAAGTAATACAGTCTTACTCTTGAGTGTGATTGTTTCCTTCAATCCACAAGGAATCTTGATTTTTTGTATACGTATTTTGTATTACCAGACGAAAATATTCCTAAAATGTAATGGAGATTGTATCGCGCTGTACGGACGGAATAGCATGTTAGATTACTTCAACTTTAGCAAACGTTGCTTCAAATTCAAGAATATCCAACATTTGATAAACATGAGTAGCTAACGCACGCCAGGGTAAGTAGTCTAAAACAACCAAAGAAATGTCATTCAATGTAAAGAACACTCTAAAAACGAGGAGTAATACAAGAAACCTATAAATCCTTGGTTAAGAACTTTCTACCTCTACTAAAATTCTTGTTGATTCAAACTGAATACAAAAATGAATGATTTACAAATAAAGTTATCACTTTTTTCCACGCACGCAGGTCATCATATCTCTTTTAGTAAAAGCTATGTCTAAAAAACCTAAGTAGCAGAAAAACAAGAGATAAGAACAAGATTAATCGAAGATATAATTGCCGGTTAGAAAATTTCTCGTTTAGCCAAAAAATACTATGTAGAACATTAAAATCTTTGCCTTTCAGTCTCATATCTTTCTTTGCTTCGATCATCTATTAATCATCTGCTCATCAAATTACCGATCTAATCCGAAATCTAGTAAACGGCTAGTCCAGCTAACTCTACTGCGTATGGAATTCCGTAACGTTTTTTGGTGATTTTGTTCAACTTGCAGAAATTTTTCAAAAAGTTAGAACTCAAAAGTGAATGAACCATTTGTAGATAATTCAGTTCTCTGTTGATTGACCTGCTTTTGAAAAGTTTTAGCGAAAATCTCTTGGTTAGGAAATTGAAAACAATGAGAGCTGCTTTACTAAATTTATAAAAAGGATATGCAAAAAAGTCAGAGAGTCACTATGAGAGAAATTGTACATCTTTTGTGGAACTTCTCTGAATAGTTTCCGAAGGAGTGTAAGTTATATACTCAGATTACTAGCATTTTTGCTGTTTTTTATTCTCTCTTTCTATAGTTATGAACTTAATTAAATAAATAATAGCAGTAGTTACGATCGTGAGTTTGTCTAGGGGAGCCCAGTTATAACCCTAGAGCCTCGATGTACAACCTCAAAATCGGTCTCGGTATATATTAATGATCTTTGAATCATCCAGGACCTTATTTGTGACTTTTATTGAAAACTAACAGTTAACCACGGTTATCGAAATTTTCGACAGCCGGGAGGAGTTATTTTCTTAAAATTCCCTGAAATATCCAAATGGTTCATGTCTAAATTCCATAAGTCATTTCCATTTTTAAACATATATTATAAAAAAAAGTCTTTCTTCTTTTTTCAAATAGTTTCGTATTTATGATTAACTCCGATAAGTTTTGTAAAATTATTACTGAATATTTTCGGTTTCTTAAAGTACACTTATTTTTTAAAGAGAGACTAAAATAGTGACGTTAGAACCGATTTACTTTTCTTTGCATATTCACTTACCGTTTTCCCGCCCTAGAAGCATATATTGCGTTATTTGTCTAACAGCCATATAACTGTCATGTTCGGCTCGTGCATCCATGAATACATTGTGTATAATTTGTGCACGATTTAATTCATTTAATTGTGTATTACCATTTATCATAACATTAGCAAGTTCTTCCCAATTTGTAGAATCATAATCCATTAGATAATAACCAGAAAAATCTTCATCACAATGAACGTACTACAATATAAAGTATAACATCAAAATCTGAATAAAAAAAGATTAATTTTTATAAATAAAAGAAAAACTATAGATCGTTCACTATCTTAAGCTTTCTACTTGACAACTATATACAGTGGCTATTTTTGATTGTAACAAATAGTCAGATTCTCTTACATTGTTAAATTGATCTAACAAAAAATTTAAAATTTCTGAGAGCGTATTGATTTTATTTTTCCTATAACAAAAATTCAATGTTGAACATACTTTATACCAGCTGTCTAATTTAATTTTACTTTCTCTATCTTTAAATGCAATCGATCTGACAATAGTGGTTGAATCATTTCCAAATGAACATATTCTAAGATACAAACATAAATAATTTATAGTAATATAAATATTTAATAATCACTTACAATGGTATAAGCCATGTATAATTAAAACGATTTGTTGGATATAAATCATAATACGGTTCATTATTGAGAAAATATCTCGATTGTGTCAAATATAAATAGACATCGTTTGTACCGTTCTCTTGTCTTATTTGTGCTGATACTATTGGATAATTTGCTTGTTGAAACCAACTTTCAAAAAATTCTTGTCCACTCCATGGACCAATTTGAAATTGATCATAAAATACTTGTGCATTCAAAAAATCAAATGTTGCATTTAGAAAAAATAACTTTGAATAAAGAAAAAAATGATTAGCAAGAAAAACTCAAATATACATTTTGTTTAATTTACATTTAGTACATGACGCATATTAAAGGAAATATTACTATAACGTTCCATATAATATTCAGCCATACGTAAAATGGCTGTTGCTTTTGATGTTTCAATACGATCAAATAATTCATCAATTTCAGTTGGAGTATTAACAGATTTAATAACTGGATGTGAACTAGTCAAACCATCATCAAACATAACAGGTATCATCTCTTCAGTAATAAATTGATTGTACTTTAGAAGAAAAACAAAACCAAGAAGAAAAATGAATTTTATCTCTAATAATTTTTTTTATTTCTTACTATATTCCATTCGGGATATGCACCATCAACTCCACGATATTTTAAATAATTTCCAATAGCTTCCTGAAACCATAATTCATCCCACCATCTGAATGATACCATACCACCATACCACTAAAATTTAATAATATAATAAAATTATATATAGAAAAAAAAATAATAAAATAAATAAATTTTAATATTTTTACTTACAAATTCTGCGAATTGTTTTGCAATTAATAGTGCAATATTTTGTTGATTATTTTCGGATGTTGTCAATTTATTATGTAATAAAGAATCTTCAGTAAAAATAATAAAACCCCAGTTTGGTGTGGCTTCGGACGGATATTCAGGTATAGCAAGAATATCTACAAAATAAAACATGGATAGTTCAAAAATAAGAAGTAAAACTAAATTATCTGAATTCTATCGAATTATCTATAGAAAATTGAAAAAATCAATCATCTACAGTTCAATATCGGTAAAATTAAATGATACTTATGAACGTACCAATTTTGTCATGGATAATCGCCGTTGTAACTTCATTAAAATATGTTTGAAGTGATTCAAATAATTTTTTCATCATATCCAATGGATCTTTGACATAGCTTATATTTGGATTGCTAAAATATTTCTTTCGTGCCCATAATCGAATCTATCATGGAGAATAATCATGGTTATATACGAATGATATAGAAATAAATATCAATTATCATATGCTCAAAATGAAAGATAAAGTCTACTCTCGAAATTTTAAAGAAAAACTTTCATTCATGTGACAATTTATTGAAAATATGAGATAAAAGAAAAGTAATATTATACCGTTACTGGACGCTCCAAAATATTTTGAGTTGTAATACTTTCATATTGAAAATCATCAGTTTGAAACATTGTAAATGCCAATAGTGATGAAGATATTGGCGGTGTAGTTTGAAACTCAGTTATATATCGTCCATCTTGATAAAATGATTCCTAAAATCAGTTATAATTACATATAAAATTACTTTCATTAGATTTTATCTAAAATGTTAATACCGATTCAATCCAATTTGTTAAAATTGTTGTATCATTGTAATGTATTACGGACAATTCAAATTCCGTTTTAAAACTTGGTTCATCAAAACATGGAAACGCTGAACGTGCATGAACCGGTTGAAAATGTGTGATTAACATTTTTGATTTATCTCTAGTAAATAAAAAATAATTATTCCTTTTTAAGTTATCAATGTTTTTTTATTCTCCAAGAAATTATCAAACTTACTGTCCATAGTCATCATTATAAAATTCATTCTCAAACAATCCCGTTCCATGTATACTCAATTGTCTTGAATAAACTATTTTTAACTCATATAACTCGTTAGCAATTAATCTTTCTTTCAAATGTATTACTAACATTTCGGTCTCAGGATATTGAAAATAACAATCGATTGGAAGAGTTGTACTATTATAATTAAATTTTACACTTATAGATGTGAAATATAATCCAACTTCATGTAATATGATATCGTATGTATTCGATTGAATTTTAAGTATAATTGTAGCTGTTCCCGTGAAATTATCATTTGTTGTACTTAAATGCGGAAGATCTAATTGAAGTTTTTGTTCAATAGGAAAAACAGTTGTTGGAAGACGATATCTTTTCCATGGTTCAGTTTGATCAAGAGGATTAACACAATTAGTAGGTCCAAGTGGTGGCAAATCATTATTAGTTTTTGAATTTTCTTTTGGTTTAACGAACGGGAGGGCATTATTGGGATATGGTTGTCTGAACAGTAAATTATCAGAAATTGATCGACGTTTGATATTTTTAATCTCTTTGAGATTGGGATTACAAACACGTAAATCATTCATATACAGTGATGCAAATGTGATTGCAATGACCGATGTTACAAATACAAAAAATAATAAAGCACATACCGGTAACGTCACATGATATTTTTTATTTAAAAATCCAAAATTTGATCGTGTTGATGTTTCATCATCGATATCTACTAACAAAAGTTCTGAACCCTTCATCGTAGAACGTTTTTTCGATTTTTTGTTGAGCTCAGTTAATTTAACTACAATGTCGATGGTATACAAGAGAAAAACAAATTCTCAAAGTCGTCGTAAAATAAAATAGAAGCTAATAAATAGATTTAAAAGTTTATGATGATCATAAAGGTAATCTTAAGATAGTGTTTAATGATGGTTGACGATATAACAATGCCAAAGAGCCGATATTATTTCTCAACATGGCAAAACATATTGACCATGCTTCTTTACTCATCGGACTGCAATTTTTTCACAGTTTTGTTTTGTTATTTATCTTTTCATTAGAGAAGCACTGATTACGATAAAAAAAAAGCTTGAAGTAACTAATTCATCATCTGAAAGATTGATACATCAATTTTATTCATCTCTCTGAGAATTTGATTTAAAATATAGAAATACAAAATTGAAGCTGATATTTTCCAAAACTTTTCATCGAGATTTAGCGAGATTCTACAGATATTTCCTGTACAAGAATTTAGGCAGGGAATACAGCCCCGAACTGCTAGTTTTATTGCACAATTGTATTGGATGGGTTGTTGTCATAATAATTTATCGCTAATACACCGTTGTTCGTTCAAATTTCAGCGGAAACTGGTTCCGCTTAGAGTCCCAGAATTTATAGTTAGTTTCTAGGTTAACTTTATCCTGTCCTATAGGACAGATTAAGGACAAGTATATTTTCGAAGAACATGTTATGCCCTCTTTAACCTATTTTAAGGGGGGGGTCTCCCATTTAGATTTTCCTCTAGCGTTGCCAGTTTGTAGAGGATACTTCGAATTATATGTTCTGAAGTTTTCTCAGCTTACTTACATTATTTAGCTAAGAAAAAAATTAATTACTTAAAAAAATGTTGTTAAATTTTCGAGCACGGGGTTATTATTACAAAATTCCCTGTCTGTTCTCCATTCATCATGAAAACTTAGTTCTTGCTTAGATCGATGGAGAAATGTGTGGAGAATATTTACGATGAGAAAATATGTAAAAATTTTTGTCCTTTCCTTCCGGTTATTGACCAATTAGTACTAATTAACGTTAATTTAGCCTACTCTACTAGCATAAAGTCTTATTTGTAAAATAGCAGCACAACAAAAAAATTCAAGCAATACCTCATCTGACAGAGAATTTTACGGGCTACAATATAGCCTACCTTAAAAATTTTAGGATTCATTTTTGGTCGCTCGGTAAGTCTGGTAGTCCAAAATTTAACAATATTGTTTTAAATAATTAAATTTTTTCTCAGCCAGATAATTTCCGAACATACACTTCGAAGTGTCCTCTACAAATCGGGAAGGCTTGAAGAAAAAATTCAAAACTTGAAAATATCGCTGGTTTTTGGCTCACCGAAGATTTTTTCACCTCACCTTACGGCTAGTTTCGCCCGAACCAAGCATTTTGAAGCAAAACTTTTGGTACAAAAGTTGTTCAGAATCAAATTCTGCAGTCCCTCACAAGAGCATTTTTTAAAATTTTCTGTTTTTAATTTTTAAATCAAATTTTACGGTTTTTAAAATCCTAAAATTTCATATTTTCAATTTAAAAAGCAAACAAAGAAAATTTTAAAAAAATCTTTCGTGAGGGATTCCGGAATTCGATTCTGAACAACTTTTGTATGAAGACTTTTGTTTCAAAATGCTTGCTTCGAGCGAAACTAGCCGTAAAGCTTTTTTCAAAAATACTTTTAGCTCTAAAATTTCCTCGGGAAGGTGAAAGTTAAATTTCTCCGTCAAACTTCATTTGGGAACGATGTAAAGTTTTTCTCCTTATACAAATTAATGTTCTCTATCGAACTACGCTAG